CCAGCAATATAGCCTCTTCCCTCTCCTATGACCAAATGCCTCCCTCTTCTAAGGACCCTTGTGATCACATCAGGTCCACCTGGCTAAGCCAGGATAACCTTCCTGTCTCGAGATCCTTAACTTACACCTGCATGTAAAGTAATGTAGTCATAGGTTCCAGGGATTAGAATGTGGACATCTTTGAGGGGGTCATTATTTAGCCTACCCCATGTTATGATTTTCTTATCCTCAAAAACATGATTGAGGTCAAAAGAGCAATGTGCCTAACTAAAATACCACATTTCACAGACCATTCACACATAAAAGTGACCAGAACATCTTGCCAAAGGAAACTGGCTGATACTGGTGGTGGTCACCCCTAGCCCTTCATGGCCATCACAGTAATGCAGTGGCCTACTCTCAAGTGCTGAAGGTCATGTGTCTTTGCCTGAGAAGTCCCTCTGGTACATGGGCCCACTTTGCCACATGTGTGACAGGCCAGAAGTGCCAGAAATTAATGTCCTCTGATGATTGACAGTTGATATATAAATACCCCAACTCTCTCACCCCTGGATGGGATGACAGGTAGATGTGTTGACTCCCAGAGTTTTTCAGTGGGATTCAGTTCCAGTTACCCTCAGTAGTAACTTATCTTATATCAAACCTTTCTTTCTTTTTTTTTTCAAACTTTTCTTTTTTTTTTTTTTTTTAAGATTTATCCATTTATTTGAGAGGGAAGGGAAAAAAGGGCATGTGAGCAGGGGAGAGGGGCTGAAGGAAAGGAAGGGAAATCCTCGAGCAGACTCCCCACTGAGCATGGAGCTCAAAGCAGAGCTCAATCCTAGGACCCTGAGATCATGACCTGAGCTGAAATCAAGTCAGATGCTCAACTCGCTGAGCCACCCAGGCACCCCTAATATCAAATATTTTATCAGCTAGTTTCCTTTCCTGGTTGTAAAACAGGGAGAATAACATCTGACTTGACTCCTTCAGAAGGTTTTTGTGTGAACAGGAGACACTGCAAATGCTTTATAAATGGTAAAATACAGTATCAATTAAGATGATATCATGAGACCCATAGACTCTTAGGGTTGTTAAGTTCTGGCAGTCATTTTGTTGCCTCCTGGCCCCAGAAGAAGAAAGAGAAAAACTCCAAGTGAATTGAAGCAGAACACAAGCATAAATTTGGTGTCCTGATTCTAGATCTGGTGGGGTTTGGCTCCATCATGATGTTTGTTACCAGGTTCTCTCTTAGATGATTTCTAAGCCTGCTGGGGCCTCTATTTATTCATGTGAAACATAGAAAGAATGACCTGGTGCCCACACTGTCACTATGTATTTTGGAGAGTCTTCATAATCGGGGAGCTCAGCCCCTCTCATTAGAGGTGAGACTCATGCACAAACTCAGTTGGAAATTGCAGACACAGCACCGTTGATTTATTTGACAAACACTTGTAAAGTACTTACTACCTTCCAAGCTCATACTATTGTAAGCTCTTTACAAATATCTGCTTATTTAATCCTCATCACAATTTAATCAAGTAACTACTATTATCATTCTCACTTTCAAGAGGAGGAAACTGAGGCACCGAGATGTTAAGTGACTTCTCCAAGTTCACAGAGCATAGCAGTGAACCTGGAAAGTTTGACTTCATGCTCAAAAATAGTATGCTGTCTTCTTCTTTTTTACCATGCCCTTTTTTTTTTTTTTAATCCTTTCTCTCCTTCTAAACTCCCTCCCCCATCTCTATCCCTGGGCCTATTTCTAATGTTCAAATCATAATGTCTCTCGATCAAAATGATCTCCATTTGCACAAGACCATTTAATGTAAATTGATTTAAATAGTCAAGGGAATATCAGTTTCTCCTAACTAGTGAGTCCAGAGGAAGGATGAATTCAACCATGATTTGACCCAAAGTTTGCCAGTCATTGAGAGGAATGCTCAGCATCTCTGTGACTATTTCAGCTCTATTCTTTCCTTATGTCAGACTCATTTTCACGTTGGCTCCCCTCAAGGAAGCAAAATGCTCTTCCATCCACACATTGCACCACCCAAGGGAAGAAAGGGAGCCTTTGCCCCAGCATCCCACACACAAGGTATGTTCCTTCTGCCTCTGAACCAGTGGGTGAGGCCAAGGCTGGGATCAAGAGAATGTCTACTATCCAAGAGTCGCATGTGCCCCAGGGATAACTGGGGAGTGGAAGGGTAGGAAGGCTTCAAGACCTAGAGGAGGTGTCACCTCCTCCATGAGATCTTCCTCTTGAAGGGGGTTTCATCCTCTTCCATCTGTGGAAGAACAGCTTCTTCCTCTGAGTTCCCATGACTCCTAATCTGTATTTTCTGAAAGCCCTCACCACTTCATATTCTTCATTTTGGATTCCTTTTGGGTCATCTTCACTTGCTTCTCCAAAGCAACTCTCCACTAGTCTCCACTCTTCTCTGCTTTATTCTGCACCCCAGAAGATGGACCATTTCTCTTTTTAACTCACTCCCATTGGATTTTCTACTCTATACCACTCCACTAAAATAGCTCTTGCCAAGGTCATGATGGCCTTCACCTTCCCAAATCCAGTGACCAGTTCTCAGTTCTCATCTTGCTCACCCTCTTGGCAACATTTGACATGAATGAACCCTCCCTCCTTCTAAAACATTTGCTTCTACTTCCATATACCACATGCTTCTGTGTTGTCATGTACTCCTCTGCTCCCTCTAATCTCCTTTGCTGGCTTCTCCCTATCCTACCCCACCTTTACCCACCTCTGCTTTCTCCATGAGGGCTATAGTTTTGACAGTAGCCATGTTTGTCTTCCTACGACCACTGCTTCCATGACTTGGAACCTCACCTAGAGCTACCACTCTTACCAGAATCTGGAAGAACTGCTCCCTCCTCTTATCCCAGCAGGCCTGGAGGTGGTAAAGGCTTCCCATTATTACTAGACACTGAATGCTTCTCCACACCTTGTTGGGTCTTAATCAAGCCAACACCTCTATAGATGGTTCCTTCAATAACTCTCTTCCTTAGAGTGTGCTATTCCCTGCTAGGACTCGAATTAACACTCTGCTTATTATTGCTATGCCACTTATCTCCCATATTAGCTTATAAAGTCACTAAGAACAAAGTCTGCGTTTAACTCTTCTTTTATCCCCAATAATGCTTGCTATCCAACTGGTACCAACAAATGCTGAAATAAAATATTCTTTCTTATTAACTGCCTTCAACTTGAACAGAAAATGAAAGTGATAAAAACATTAAAAAATACATACACACACACCCCTCCCAGGGCAAAAGACAAAAGAATGAAATAATGCTAAGGACTGAGTTTTGCCTGATTCCTCAAATTCACAACTTATTCAAAATCCATATGGAACATGTGGTTTTTTTTTTTTCCCTCCAGGACCAGAAATGAAAGATAGTTAATTCTGTTACAATAGAAATTGAAGTACAAATAAATTGAGAAGCAGGGTAGCCCCATTGCTGACCAACAGGAGATCTAAGAAACATAGGGTGCCAGGAGTTGCCTCATACCCTATGCATGAGATGGGCTTGGGGGAAAGAAGCTACTAGGTGGAGTCCCAACTTTTGAGAGTCTCCTTCCTACTTTGTTGTTTCTCTCTCTTTCTATTGTGAGCCACATTGCCACCCCTTCCCTACCTGATCCCGTTGCTCTAATGCCACCCAAGAGGCAACTTGCTCCATCTTTCCAGCCAACTTGCTCCATCTTTCTTCAATCTCACCAGTACTTCCTCCCTAGGAGTCCCCTTTTATTCTCTCTCCTCCTTATGCCCCTCTCATTCCAGGTTTTTGCAAATATCCTAAGTTCCCTTACTCCTTTGTCTATCCGTGGTATCTCTCTGGCAAAAACGAAACAAAACAAAAAATATTAGCCTGAAATAAACCTCACTTCTCAGCTCTCCCATTCTGCTCCTGAACAGCTGAATGCCAATAAAAAAAAAAAAAAAAAAAAAAAAAAACCCACATCAGGCAGAAATCTTGCTAAATTCAAGGTCACCAATTTCAAGAGACTCTTAACACTTTCAGCATCAAAAAATACTTGTAGTGTGGGGAAATACATGAGGAAGAAACTCTGGAGATTCTGAAATGAATGCACTGCATGCAGATAGAGGAGCAAGCAAAGAGACAAAACAAATAGATCAGTGCAGAAGAGACCATATGAGAAGAGTACATTGGAAGCAAAAAGAAGAGAGAATTTCAACAAGGCTTGACTACTATTGCCTCTTGTGAGCAAAATTCTCATTTTTAAAAAAAGATTTTATTTATTTATTTGAGAGAGAGTCAGAGCACATGCACACAAGCAGGGGGAGCGGCAGTGGGAAGGATGAAGCAGGTTCCCCACAGGGTAAGGAGCCCAGTATGGTGGCTTGATCCCAGGACTCTAGGATCATGACCAGAGCCAAAGGCAGATGCTTAACCAACTGAGCCAACCAGGCACCCCCAAAACTCTTATTTTTAAGAGTTGTTGGGTGGCTGTAGAGGAGAGCCTGCCTTGTGCCACCCTGTTGATAACAACTCTGTTATGGATGAAGAAGCAGATCATCTAGAGGCCCTTGGTATGTGCAAGTGTGTTGGAGAAGTCGGGCTTTTGCTTCCTCATCTGGAATCCTCCCTACTTTCCCCAGGAGGGACACACTGAGAGGGTATGGATGGGTGGGAAGCAAAGGAATTGTTTCAACAGCAATGAATGTATGAGGTCAAGGCAGGGCTGACACTGTTCTCAATAAGGAGCATTGTGACTATGAACAAAGGCTAGTGGGATTTTTCTTCATTTGTTTGCTTTCATTTCTTCATGCTAGACAGCTGGAATGCCAGGGGCAGTTCTGTGCCAAGACACAAAAAGGATGAAAGCCCAGGACTTCCCCTAGGACAACAGCTTCCATTTTAGCTTAAGGCAAGCATAAAATCTGCCCTAAGGTAGTCGTTTAGGAACTTCCTGTTGGTTCACATTTCAAACAGATTGTATTTAATTTTCACCTTACCACTCAGAGCTCAGAGTGAACAGGGGTAAGGTCAGGAGACCCAGGGACAGAGTACTCTGCTGAGAACTGAATCAGTGACCACCTGGCTTCCAGTAAGTACTGCTTGGTTTGAATGTCTTAGGTTCTCAAGACTGTGCTAATCTGAAATTTTATTTGAGCAAAATTGCTGTTTTGGGTTCTTGGTTCATAACTGTAAAGTCAGAAGGAAATCGGATCTTTTGGTATCACACTCATCAAACCCCAAATGACATTAAAATAAACAGGTTATAGGCAAGGATATTGGGTACATTCTCCTGAGTGAGATCAAAGAGATAAATCTGAAAGGCTTTTTGTTTGCAGGCAAAAACAAGAAATGCAAGTAGAACTGTGAAAAGGTTTAATTCTTCTTTCTTAAATAGAAGGAAAAGCAAAGCGGTTCAGACGACAACTCTCAGGTTAGAATTCTGTCTCAGCTTCTTTTTAATTATGTGGTCAAAGGCAAATTGCTTAGTATCTCTGATAACCGTTTTCTCATCTGTAAAATGGGTATTATACCATTGAAAAAGTAATGTCAGTTTTATAGTATTCTATGTAAAAATATATGTGAAATCTATATATTTTATAAATATAAATAAATATGAAATTAAATGAGATTTCATATATCATGTATAATTTTGCTTATGTAACATAAGCTTCTGCTTATTTTGCTTACATAAGCAAAATTTATATAATAGGTTTCCTATATAATGGATTTCACATTTATATACATGTACTGGACTCATTATGTATAATATGAAATTAATATATATAATATGAAATATATATCATGTAGGAAACACAGCATTTATATACATGGACAAATGAATCCTGAACAATACGGGGGTTAGGGGTAATGACCCCCCCATGCAGTTGAATATCCACATATAACTTTTGACTCCCCCCAAAACTAACCACAAACAGCTTACTATTAACCGGAAGCCTTCCCCGTAACAGAGTCAGTTAACACATATTTTTGCATGTTAACACATATTCTGTGTGTTATATATAGTATATATATAGTATAAAGGGCCCTTTGCCCCCTCCCGTTTTTCTGGCACTGCCCTGGCACTGGCCTGCTTGATGCTCCCTTCTATTTTGAGAGTCTTACTAGTTCAAGGTAAAAATTGATCACCAGCACTTCCCAGATGTCAAAGATCTCCCCTGCCCTGAGGCCCTTTACCCTGTGGGATCCCCCTTCTCACAGGACCCCACAGAGGTCAAAGGATTGCTGGCACAGCTGCCCAGGAAGGAGCTCTGCCTCTTGGAGTCAATCTCACCCCAGAGCCGGGCAGACACCTGAGGCAGTCTGAGAACAGGGATATGCCCCCTGGTCCTTGCTCTTCAGTTTCCCTCTGGAGAAAGCAAGTTCCTGGCATGGAGAAGGGCTTATCTCAGGCTTCCTTTTGGCTAGTAATGCTTTCTCAGCTGCATTGGGTCCACAGCCTCCTGCCCTCTGGCCTGTTCTTGTCTCTCCTCCTTGGTGCTGTTTCTGGCAGGGACTTTGATGTCAGAGTCACTTATGGAGCAGGAGCAGAGAAAGTCCAGGGAACACGGCTCCTTCTGTCACACTTAAGCAACACCTCGACAGAACTGCCATGTGAACGCAAGTTGCTTGGATGTGTCCTTATTACTGTGGCTACTCTCAGCCTTGGGAGCAGAAAGGAAAGCAGGAGGCTAATAACCCAGTACAGCAACATTCACAGGCACCACCCTAATGCTGCATGATTGTGTCACTCATCAGTGAATCACATTGTTGTTTAAGGACTAACTGGTGTTTAACTCTTCCTTTTGACAGATGAGAACAGACAGCCATAATGGAACCCAAACCTCAGAAGAGTCCAGGTATCCAGGGGGGTATACTCTCCGAAGTAAAAAACTTTATTGAAAATAACCAACAATTCTCACCAAGCTAATCAGGGTACAGAAGACAGTTTAGTGAGGCTAATGGGCGGCATTTCTGGGACAATGACTCTTGGTATGGAGAGTGGCAGGAGCTGTCGGATTTGGTTAATTATTTTGTAAGAGCTCACCTATCTAGAAATTTGACATTTTCTGATTTTCATTAACCAAATGTTCCATCTGTTGCTTGGAGATGGCACTAAAACCCAGAAAAGACTGAAGAGTATTTCATAATTTAGTAAGAAATTCTCACTTGGAAAAATTGCCTATGTTGTTATCATAGAGGTAGCTCGAGCTATATTATTCAAAGGTCCTTGTTCATGTTCATATAGTTCATTGCAGGTGGGTAGTTAGGAAAGCTGAGTTTAGGATGAAATAATTTAGAAATCAAATTATCCAATTCAATTGAAAAATAAGTATTTTGGGGATGCCTCAGTGGCTCAACGGTTGAGCTTCTGCCTTCGGCTCAGGGCATGATCCCGGAGTCCCATATAGGGCTCCTTGCATGGAGCCTGCTTTTCCTGTCTCTGCCTCTCTCTCTCTCTCTCTCTCTCTGCTTCTCTCTGTGTCTCTCATGAATAAGTAGATAAAATCTTTTTTTAAAAAGTATTTTTGAATATCTATTCAAAGCATCTATTATTAGTAAGGCCACTGTGCTTCATATTGCACTAGATATACAGATTAAGTAATAGGGTCATTGCTCTCAGTGAGTTTATAGATTTTGTTGGGAAGTTAAGATCAACACATGTGAGTAGCTCTATTGAGAAGCTAAGATAAGCACAAATAACCAAGTTATGACAGGAATCATGAAATAAGTGTGAAATGTTATGGGAATCTGAGGAAGAGCTTGTAAGTAGTTGTGGGAATCCAGAGAGGCTTTATGAGAAGGCATTTAAACTAGACTCTGAAAGATGCATAGGATTTTAAAAGAGATTGGAAAAGGGCACAACTGAGCAGAAAGGGATGGCATGAACAAAAGCAATGCGTGGGTTAGAGACAGGATGTGTCAGAGGACAATGAGTATAGAAAGTAGAACAGGGAAGTGTAGAGGATGAGGCTGTGGCACTATCCTGTGCCAGACCTTGACCTCATATGGCCAGGAATCCTTGAAGCCTTTTGAGCAGGAGAAAGGTGTCATTAGATTTGCATTTTAGGTTGGTCATACTTTTTGAAATAGCTTTTTGTGGTGAAAATGATATACAATAAACCACATATTTAAAATGTATAATTTGTGGGGATCCCTGGGTGACTCAGAGGTTTAGCACCTGCCTTTGGTCCAGGGTGTGGTCCTGGAGTCCCAGGATCGAGTCCCACATCAGGCTTCCTGCATGGAGCCTGCTTCTCCCTCTGCCTGTGTCTCTGCCTCTCTCTCTGTGTGTGTCTATCATGAATAAATAGATTTTTAAAATCTTTAAAAAATAAATAAAAATAAAATGTATAATTTGATAAGTTTTGATATATGTATATGCCCGGGCAACCAGCACCACAATCAAAAAACGGGCAAATGTATCACTCTCAAAAGTTTTGTGTTACTGATTTACAATTTGATTCCATTATGTTCTGAAAATACACTTGGTAAACCTTCAGTGCTTTCAAATTTATCGAGACGGGTTTTATGGCCCAGAATATGACCTATCTTGGTAAATGTTGCATATGCCCTTGAGAAAGGTGTGCATTCTGCTGTTGTTGAATGTTCTAGAAATATCAATCAGGCCAAGTTTGTTGACAGTGTTGTTCAAGTCCACTATATCTTTATGATTTTCTGCCTACTTTTCTATCAGTTATGAAGAGAGGGATATTGAAATCCCTGACTGTTATTGTGGATTTGTCTATTTCTCTGTGCAGTTCTATCAGTTTTTGCTTCATGTATGCTGAAGCTCTTTTATTAGGTACATAAATCTGTAGCATTTTTATGTCCTCTTGATTAATTGACCCCTTTATCATTATAAAAAGATCTTGGTCCCTGGTAATATGTTTTTTGCTTTGAAATCCATCTCAGTTCCCCTTTCCTATGTTGGAGCCTGGAAACTCTCTCAGGGGAACAGTAGGGCCCACCTTGATTGCTTCCTGTCTTTTAGGGATCAGTGACTTTAAATGTCCATGCTCAGTGTCTTGAAAACCACTATTTTATATATTCTGTTTTGTAAACCTATTCCCTGTTATTCTCTCTTTGCCCCAAGTGCTAGATCAGTCATATTTGTCATTTAGTCTCAGGGGTACGTCAAGGACGGATTTGAAGATGTCAAGACTGGAATTGGGAGGTCAAACTGGACCACCACTGAAACACGGTGGAAACATATAGAGGTTTCAAGTTCATGTGAATTGAAACATACTAAAAATGTTTGAAGGTCTTGAAGGAAGTGCTGGTAAGAATAGAGAAATAGGGATGGATCCTGAAGTATTCAGGAAGTGAAAATAGGCATGATTTAGTAATTGGCCATAAGGCTGATGGAAGGCTAAGAGTTAAGGTGATTCCTTAGCATAAGTTCTGGAGAAAACAATGCCATTGTCATGGTCACAAATACCATCAGGGTTCTTGTGCCCTGGAATTGGTAGTAAGTATGAATACTGGGGACACCCTGGAAGTGCCCAGCCAAGTCAACATCTTCACAGATATTTACTTTATTTAAGATTCTGCTAATTGTAGTGGCACCTGGGTGGCTCAGTCAGTTAAGCTTCTGACTCTTGATTTCAACTCAGGTCATGATCTCAGGATTATGAGATCGAGCTCCACATCTGGCTCCATGCTAGGTGTGGACCCTGCTTGAGATTCTCTCTCCCTCTTCCAGTGGCCCTCCCCGTCTTAAAAAAAAAAAGATTCTGCTAATTGTATACAACGTTATTAGACACACATTTTCATAAAATATCTGCATCTGTTGAACCCTCTAAATTTAATACCACCCAAGAGCCCCTATGTTATAGGCAGATGAGAGACTGGTTTATTCAGCATATGATAAAAGCTAAAATTTCCTCTCTTATTCATAAGAGCTACTCTTCAGTGAGCCCTAGTGGGTGCCAGGCCCAGACCTGAGAGGTTTCCATGCATTAACTCCCTCAGTCCTCACCACAAATCTCTAAGGTCAGTGCTACTGTCTCCATTTTACAGATGAAGAAACAGGGAGATTTAGTGATCCAAGCTGTTCTATAAATACTTGTTCAGTAAATAAATCTGTGATTTATGTCCAAGGCCAAACAATGATTTTAAAGAGGAGCTAGTTGCAATATTGTTGCCTTCTGTTCTTCTTTTCTTTTTCCTTGTGTGTGTGTGTGTGTGTGTGTGTGTGTGTGTGTGTGTGTGTGTGTGTAGGGATGAGGAGTGAGGAGAACTTAGAGTAGTTCCGGAGCAAGGAGAAGGAGGCAAAGTGAGGACAGCTGCCTAAGAATTACTAGATTCTAGGGGCACCTGGGTGTCTCAGTCGGAATTCACCTGGCATGTGATTCTTGATCCCAGGGTCATGAGCGTGAGCCCCACACTGGATGTAGAAATTACTTAAATAAATAAACTTAAAAACATGTTAAGAAGGGGACACCTGGGTGCCTCAGTGGTTACGCATCTGCCTTTGGCTCAGGTCATGATCCTAGGGTCCTGGGTTCCAGCCCCATATCGGGCTCCCTGCTCAGCCAGGCGTCCGCTTCTCCCTATGCCCCTCCCTCTGCCCATGCTCCCTCAATCTCTCTCAATAAAGTCTTAAAAAAACTATTCTAAAAAAAAATGTTAAAAAAAAAGAATTACTAGATAGACTATAGTACAATGTCTCCATTAGCTGTGCTCCCTAATCCTTATTCTGTTTTCACTTAATAAGAAAAGCTCTAACTCTTTAGTAAAGGCTGTCTTTTACCAAACCACGGACAAACTAGAACTACGGCCTGGATGCGAAAGCAAAACCAAGCTGTTTTTTTTTTTTTTTTTTTTTCAAATAAATTTTATCTTAACAACACTGTGCTTTTCTAATTAATGAAAGGAGTGCATATGTCTTAAAGACATTTTTGAAAATACAGGGAAAAAAACTATAAATTTCAATACTTACTGAGAAGCTATTAACATTTTGGAGACCTTATGATTTAATCACTCTGCCACCTGATTTTCAGTAGCAGGTGGTTTTGCTTTTGTTTGCTAAGCCAAGGCAAAGCAGAATTATCTTGCTCCTCTGGCTGGCTCTTCAACAAGGATAGAGACAAACCTTTGCTCACATCTAGAAAGCCAGCAACGGTGCCCCCAGAACTTAGAGCTGCTACATGTCATCTGAAGCAAGGTCCTGGATGTGGATGGATAAGAACACTGTTGGTCATTTGGTTTTCTGTTTTCATGGCCTATCCTATTATAGACGTCCTTTTTCATAACTGAATAATTTGAAGACCTTTCCAGAGGTAAATAGTGTTTTCCAATTGAAGCAGTTCTTTTCCACAATTTACAGGGAACAAACTGAGTCTGTTCACTTTCTTTTATTAGGCAAACGATTTACATTTTATTATGAAAATGAAGTCTGCAAACAAGATTACTTTATTAAATCACCACCTCCTCAGCTTTTCTTCTCCGCTGTAAGTATTCACCATGATTTAACAGGCCTCCCACCAGGCTTATGAACATTTTTTAAATCCTTTCTCTTCCTCTGAGATTTAACTAAGATGCAAAATGGTTTCATTTTTCAGTCTTCTTGGAAAAAGCGGTTTTTCATTCTTTCAAAGAGTGGGGAAAGGAGTCTTCGTCTTTCCTATTACAAAAACCAACATCACCGAGGATCCATTGAAATTGACCGGTGTGTATCCAATCGGGAAAACCGTTTATAACCGTAAATACTAAAAGGTGCATGCAAGTTGAAATCTAAATCATTGACTGGAAGAAACAAAGGCTTCACACTTACAATAGTTGTTGCTGAAAAGAAGCTAAAATGAGGAACGTTTTGAGTAAAACATAGCTAAATACCTATTTTGTATTGTATACTGTAGTTCATAAGTTATTAATTAATAAGCATCTAGTTACAAAAAGTTTCAAGTCACTTAATTTATGGATGAGAGCAGATAAAATCATCATTTCATAAAGCCAAGATGGATTTTTAAAAAAGCATTTAGTTTGGCTTTTTTGTCCTCTCTTTCAGAAATTATGTACAAAAAGAAAATTAGAAAACATGATACTTTGTAGAACAAAGAATCTACATGAAGAATTTCTGAATTAAGTTTGAGGCTGAACAAAATGTTTTCAATCAGTGACAAACCAGATCTAAACTTATCTAAAATTATCAGACAACCTCCAAAATGTCGATTAAGCAGATCTAAATTTTATTCAGTTTGAAACCTAATATAAAACATTAGTTCTCACGTTTAAGTGTTTAATACTCTATGTCTATATCTGAGAAATTCCAGTGTAGAAGTTGGCATAAGTAGCCATGAAAAAATGCAATCTGTAAATAAAATGTTTAAATGCTGCTCTGATGAGGTGATGTCCATCAGAACCACCAACAGGGAATATTTCCTCATTGGCCATGACAGGTAAGTGGTAAGATAGCACAGAATATTTCCCATGCGCACAATAAAAAAAGACAGACAAATAAAACATTTTTTAAAGATTTTTATGTATTTATTCATAAGAGACACACAGAGAGAGGCAGAGACACAGGCAGAGGGAGAAGCAGGCTCCCCAGTGAGCAGGGAGCCCGATGTGGGACTCAATCCCAGGACTCTGGGATCATGCCCTAAGCCAAAGACAGACGCTTAACCACTGAGTCACCCAGGCGTCCTGACAAATAAAACATTTTAAACCAATAAACAATAAACATACTTTGAACAGAAGCCCAGAGCCACATACTGTTCAACACCATCTTGACAGTCTTCATTATTTGTCAAAATACCTTGAAAAGTCACAGTATTCATTTCCTAGGGCAGCCAAAACACCACAACTGGGTATCTTAGGACAACAGAAATAAGGGGGTTTGGGGGACAGGGCACATGATGTCATTAGCACTGGGTATTTTTTTTTTTAAGATTTTATTTATTTATTCAGGATAGACAGAGAGAGAGAGAGAGAGAGAGGCAGAGAGAGAGAGAGAGAGAGAGGCAGAGACACAGGCAGAGGGAGAAGCAGGCTCCATGCCGGGAGCCTGACGTGAGACTCGATCCCGGGTCTCCAGGATCACACTCTGTGCCAAAGGCAGGCACCAAACCAAGCCACCCAGGGATCCCCAGCACTGGGTATTATATAAGACCAGTGAATCACTGACCTCTACCTCTGAAACCAATAATACATTCTATGGTAAGTAATTGAATTTATTTATTTTTAATTTATTTATTCATGAGAGACACACAGAGAGAGGCAGAGACACAGGCAGAGGGAGAAGCAAGCTCCTCGTAGGGAGCCCGTTGTAGGACTTAATCCCAGGACCCTGGGATCACAGCCTGAGCCAAAGGCACACACTCAACCACTGAGCCACCCAGGTGCCCCTTAAGTAATTGAACTTAAATAAAAAATAAATTGAAACAAATTTAAAAACAACAATAGAGATGCGTTGTCTCTCTGTTCTGGAGGCTAGGCATCTGACAGCAGGATGTCACAAGGCCACCCTCCCTCTGAAGCTCTGGGGAAGGTCTATTCCAGGTCTCTCTCCTAACTTCTGGTAGTTCCGGGGCTTGTGGCAGAACCGTAAAGTTCACACAGCCTTCTCCCCGTGTGTGTGTCTCTGCATCCAAACTTTTTATACGGATGCATGTCATACTGGTTTAGGAGGTCAGTATGACCTTGTCTGAGCTAATTACATCTACAATAACCCAGGCCGATTTCCAAATCAGGTCACATACTCATGTACTGGGGTTTGGGGCTTCAATATCCAAACTTTGAGGGGACACAATTCAACCCATAACCCTACCACCATCACCCCAGATGCATCTCATGTAAAAGAACCCAATACACAGAGGCACTTGGGTGGCTCAGTCGGTGAAGCATCCAACTCTTGATTTCAGCTCAGGTCATGATCTCAGGGTCCTGGGATCAAGCTCCCTGCTCAGCAGGGAGTCTGCTTGTCTCCCCCACCCACCCCCTCCACTGTCTACCTCTCCCTCTCTTAAATAAGTAAATAAATCTTAAAAAAAGAAAAAAAAAAACCTAACCCAATACACAGATATCTGCCTAAGCTCCCTGTGTTCGGGAGGGGCAATGCTTATCCCTGAAGGGGTCTGCAGTTTTTAAGGGGGGGGATCCTGGTGCTACCAAAGGTGCCTTAAATGGATCCATTATAGATGATCAGCTGCTTGGCAGAGGCTGAGGTCAGGGGAGGAAGCTGTCAGAGGAGGCAGCGCAAGCTAACACCAAAGTACGAAGAACCTTGATCTGTTGCCGATGAAGCTCAAGGCAGAAAGCTCTCTTTTAACATTGTCATGAAAAGTCAATAGAAAAGAATAAGTGATTTATATAAATTCATTCCAACACCTTCTTCATAAACACATGCGTTCCCCAAAGGGAGGCACACCTGGATAGCTACACAAAAGTGGCGCTGACAGGTTAAGGGGCCCGCTTAAGAACACAAAGGAAATCAGTGTCAAAGCCCAGAGCTCCAAACCCTATGATTATTACTGTTGTTTTCCAGTGTTCTTCCCATTTCCCTGAGCTTTCCTCACAGAGGTGGCGTGAAGATTAATTCCAGTGTGCAAATGTGGAGGTGGTGAGGAGCCAGTGGGTCGTTTAAGCTACTTTGGAAAAAAAAAAAATCTTTATTTCCCTGGTACTTGCTCCCACGGCCTGTTCCAACCTTAATAAAAGAGCCCTTCTCCGGTTCAAAAGGAGCAAAGGTGCTATTGTTGCCACACGCCAGCTGAGAATTTACTCCTATCAACAGGGAGAAGATTAAAGACTGGGTCTCCTTCGTGTCTTCGTTCTGCTGGGATGTGGAAGCAGCACGCCAGGATACAGAGGTGACTCTACATCACTAATGAAATAACAGTGAACACCACCCCTTTCACGAGGACACAATGGCAGCTTTTTCTTTTCCTCCTTAGCAACTGGCCTCAACACAAGGGATAAATAAGTGAGAGAATGTACAGCCTTGTTATTTTTATGATTAAGAGTAGGGGAAAAAATACTTTTGTCATTTTGCAAGACACCTAAAAATACAGACACTTCCAATCTTCATTACTGGGGTTGGAGGAGTGAAAGGTAACTGTGGCATTTTTTCAAGAGTGGCCGAAACTATAGTACTTGCCATGATTGTCATGCAAGGTGCATAACGGCTGCCTTTTGAACCCACTGGTAGACATGCCTTGGCTTCCCTCTCCCTTGGCCTCTGCTTTCATCATAAGCATTGAACAACTTAGAAAATGTGCCAATTCAAATGATTAGAGCCAAGGGGCAGGGTGCAGAGGGACATAGGCTTAAAAAGACAGGTAGAGGGAAACTCAGGGCATCTGCAGGCCCAGCCGAGAGTCCTCAAGGGTTTGGAAATAGGAGAGAGGCATGATCACATCATGTCTTAGTGAGTTCCAGAAGGCTGGCTGGGGGTATAAATGTTAGTGGTAAAAGACTGGAGGCAGGAAGCCCAGCGACGAGGCTGTTGTTGAATTCCAGGTGAGAGATCGATCATGCCCTGACTGCAATATTCCTTTTCCATAAGCAGGAGAAATTCTCATCGGGTGATAAAAGGCCCTCTTCAGACCCCAGCCCTCTCTTTGATCCTTCCAGCACATTAGAGGCTGTCACCAGAGGCTGTCAGACACCAAGAAACAGTCTTCCGGATGTGGTAATCAGACTTGTGTCTACCAATCAGGACGCTTTGCCTGGGGGTCAGCTCATGCTTCAAAATTCTTACGATGTATCTGACACCTTCCTGAGTCCAAAGCACTAAAGAATGATGTTTGGCTCTAGTGTTGATCTTATGTTCAGTCTGTTTCTTATACGGTGAATGAGCCTTCCTGCATGCCCTGCCTACCTCGAGATGTATTCATTCATTCTAGGTGCTTCTTGCATGCATCTGGGCATGTGGGGTGGAGAACTTTCCAGCTAACACAAAGCCTACCTGGCAACCTTGGTTTCACTTTACCGCAGAGGGCACAGATTACTTCTATAAAGAGATTCCTGAAACATCACTTGTTTTCTGCCACACAACCTATACTTCTGGGGTAACATCAAGGTTCTTTTTTCCTTTTTTAAAGATTTTATTTATTTATTCATGGAAGACAGAGGGAGAGAGGCAGAGACACAGGCAGAGGGAGAAGCAGGCTCCCTACAAGGAGCCTGATTGGGACTCGAAACTGGGTCTCCAGGATCACATCCTGGCCTGAAGGTGGCGCTAAACCTCTGAGCCACCCGGGCTGCCCAACATCAAGGTTCTTATTAATTTCCTTCATTTACCCAGATTGATCTTGTTTTTCTCTCTGACTTCATCTTTACTTCTAATGAAATCCATTTGAGGGGGAAAAAAAAGGACATCTGGACCTTGAAGATGACTTGTGATGATACTCTCTGCTCTCTCAGATTTGTAATCTTTCCAAGTTTGGATAAATGGGCCGAGTAGTTGTTTGTTTGGTTGTTTTTTTCCTTCTGCTATGGATACCATCTTGTCCTTTCGAGATGTAACCACTGACTTTCCCTCCTCCCTGGGCCCCCAGCACATCTTAATATGGCATAACCTCCTATTTTATCTAGTTGGGAGCTCTCCAACTATTTTAAAAGCTTTCTGCAGCAGATCGAATTCACCAGGCCAAACACCTCATTTGGTATTTGTAGGAAATGGGTTGCAAAAGAGAACTCTTTTCAGTAAATTATGTCTTGTTTTTCACTCATGATATCCCTTCTGCCTAGAGATAACATGGCTGGTCGTCTTGCCCTTTTTTCACGCTCTGTCTTCGAACTCAGTGCCTTTTCAACCAGTCCCGGTTAAGATTATCGTCTGCCTTGTTGGGGTTTGTTGTTGAAATTAGGTGGGAACCCTTCTTCCTCCCTAGTTCAGCCTGGTCTAGCCTCATGATCTTGGCCCTAGAAAAATGGACACAGTTTAAAGTATTATGTTTTTAAAATCACTTTCCTTCAAGGACTTCTTAGAGCACATTCAAGATCTTGTCAAACCCCCCCTGCTCTAAGGCATTGTTCTTAGAAGAATCAAGTTGTACTTATAACAATTTTCCTGGCATGCAAAGCAGCTGCTTTAGTAGTGTATTTTGTAGCTACTGTGGAGGGAAGGCAGTAACTAGTTGAACCTACATTACCTTGAAGACTATAATTCATACTATCACATGATCAACACCTAGCAAATTGCATTGCTATGGAAACAATAGAAGTATGTGAGCAGAACACAAAAGGGGAATATTGAGCAGGAAGAGGAAAGGTGCGGTGCCTTGACCACGGGCTAATTACCTTCTCAGATGGCACTGAGTGAAAACTAAGTAGGTGGGGGTGGGGGCCTCTGTTCCGGAGCTTCCTGCCTTAGAACACTGCCCCCTACTCCCACCAGAAAGAACCACTTGTTCTGAGTTTCAGATCCCAAGGGTACAGAAAAGCCTGAATGATGGGCTAAATTTTTAAATCATCAAGGTGACCCAGACTCAAGAGGCAAGTTCAAGTTGTGTGGGCTTCTGCATGTAACCTTGGAAGATTCTCTGATTTTCCCAACACAATTAATCTATTACGGCTTTTCCAGAGAGCATGTGGTTTAATTCTGTCCCCTGCAAAAAAGCAAAGAAAGAGAAAAAAAGAAAGGAAAGAAGGAAGAAAAAAGAAAAGAATTAATTCTGTCTCCATCTCCTCATTCAGCATTTAATGGGAAAAAAATCTCCAGGACTCAGACAAGCTCATTTACCACACGACTTCTTGTCAGAAACTACTGAAGATACAGAAGAAGAGAGTTATTATATCAGTCCTCAAAGTATTCTTTCGGAGGTAACCCCTTCCCTCCATTAATCCTTCATTCCTTGCACAAATATTTGCTGGGATCCTGCTGTGTGCTGTTCCTGAGGCGGCGCTAGGCTGGGTTCAGTGGCACAGAGCAATGAATCAGGCCCAGGTGACGTGCTCACAGTGTTGACGCTTGAACAGGAGCCAGCCACCATAGGAGACAGAAAGGGCTCCGCGCTGAAGAGAGATGCTTGTGATATGCGTGGAGGGCATGAGGGAAGGAAGGCAGGCGAGGTGATTTCCAGACAGAAGGCCAGTGAAAACAAAGCTGAAAAACCACTGAAAAAATACTCCCCCCAAAATTAAGTACAGAACTATGCAGTAGAAGTTCAGAGAAGAAGGAGATTGGCAATGGCTGAGGTGGTCAGAGGGGGCTGTGGGGCCTCACAAGGCCAGAGGAGATGGGGCACTCCAGGTGAAGCCAGTAGCATGAAAGCTGGCTCTGGAAGCCCACCATTCACAGGGGAGCAGCAGGAAGACTGGCTTGACAGAAATGGATTTTTCCAATTATGGGTTAATGATTGATCTGTTGGGCAGGCAGTTAAAAGCCCTCAGGGTTTTTGAGCAATCATCCCCCTCCCCCCCCCCAATGACCTAGCTATGAGGGGGCTAGTTGAGAGCCTCCTGGGGCCAATATTTACTAGGACCTTTGCAGCTCCTTGAAGCAACTTGGCTAGCCTGTGAGCAGAGTAGCCTGAGGCCAGTTCTGTGTTTGTGGGAGCCTCTGACCCAGCCAGGTGACATGATTCTACAGTAGCACTGGTTGGGAAAAAGAGTTTATATATATCATGAAGTGCCTAGTGATGGAAAACTAAATAGCAATGTAGTCTGATAAAACACCGTATCGGAAGCATTGGGGGAAACCAGGAGGAGAAAACAGACTTTGCGTTGGAGAACCTCTACCAATTCAGTCTCCAGGAATGAGCACCACTGTTCATCCATTGGTGGATGTACTTACTATTTCAGGGCCCAGCACCATCATGGAAGGGGTAAAAAGGTATCGATTATTGGTAGATTTGCATCCTTACACCTGTTCCTCTTGTCTGTAGTTGGATTCTTTTATTGCTTCCAGTGATTCTGGTGAATCTCCTGAACCTGGTAGTCCAGATCAGTTCGCTGAGAGAACTGAGCATCATTACATGTCAATGAAATCCTGGTAGGTAAAATTGCCATGTTCTTTTTTTTTTTTTCCTAATGATTCTTTTTTAATTAATTAATTAATTAATTAATTGGAAGAGAGAGAGAGTTCTAGCAAGGGGGAGAGGCAGAGGGAGAAGCAGACTCCCCACTGAGCAGGGAGACCAACTCAGGGCTTGATCGCAGGACCCTGGGATCGTGACCTGATCCAAAGACAGCTGCTGAACTGACTGAGCCACCCTGGCACCCCTAAAATTGCCATCTTCTTAAAATTGATTTTAGCTAATGCACTTTTATAGAACAATTACTGTTGATATATTAATATAAAGAAGCATTACCATAGACCAAGTTCAACACATTATTCCATAATTCCAACACAAAAAGAAGTGAGAATGGTTTCTCCACCCACTGAGAGCCATTTAGTGACTTCCTCAGGCCATATTCTGTCCCCCTGGGAACTTATTTTCTATTCTGAATTTATGTCTCACGCTCTCACTTCTGCCTTCCATGCCCTCCCACTGTAAAGGGTTATTTTGCCTCCATATCCATTTCAGAAGGAAAGTTTGTTGAATTTGATTCTGTGATTCTGAGGGTTGGGCACATACTTGAAGACCTTGTTAGTTTTCTTTTCTTAAGATTTTATTTATTTATTCATAAGAGACACAGAGAGAGAGACAGAGACAGAGAGAGAGAGAGAGAGAGAGAGGCAGAGACACAGGCAGAGGGAAAAGCAGGCTCTGCACAAGGAGCCTGACGTGGGACTTGATCCCAGATCTCCAGGATCAGGCCCTGGGCTGAAGGCGGTGTTAAACCGCTGAGCCACCCAGGCTGCCCACTTGTTAGTTTTCACATGACTCCTAATTACCGAAATCTGATTCACACACCATAGGAAGTTGAAAACAGACATGCTGAAGGAGGGTTATTGTATTAACTTCTTATACACTAGTTTTTTCAGAGAGACATCCCACGAGTCTGCTGATAACAAAGAGGAATCCCAGGCCCTTCCAGAGATCCAGAATGAGAGGCTTCACTTGCAAGAACAGGGCTCACAAAAGGACTCTTGTCTTCCACCTGCCAATATGGAAGCACAAACCACAAATGACAGAAAGGAGCTGGCCTCACTTACTGTTGTGCAATTATCTATACTAATCAAGTAAAGTTCTAATTTCTAAAACTTTCTGGGCCCTTAGAGCAAGGCAGCCTTCCTTTTTTTTTTACTAAGAGTTTGAATTTTAAAGTAGTTCCTAAAAATCTCCAAGTCAGCCAACATTTTGACCAGCTTCCCTTTCTCTCTGATGTGGTGTCCAAGGACAGTGAGTAACGGAGCTGGAAGCAAAGTGGTCCCCTGGGCTGTGGGTAGCATTTTCAAATAGTTCTAAAAGTTCTCCCTTGGCTAGTCTTTCAGGCCCTGGAACTTTGGATCACACCGAACTAGGTAGCATGTCACCCAACGTCTACCATTAAAATTATGGGCACATAAATTGCATGAGGTTTGGATATAGAATAGGAGGGGGACATGTAGGTTTTAAGTGATGCCAAGATGAAATTGTTCTCCATTTTAACTCTTTCCAGGGTCTTCTTCTATGGAATCATTTCTATGGAGAAATGAGCAGATGGATGTGATATATAATCAACTTAGTCCATTTCTAAAAAAAAAAAAAAAAAAAAAAAAACAGTCCATTTCTTACACCACTGTCTGCCATCCACTACCACATTCCAAGAGGGGTGGGAGGGCATTAATGAGTAACAAATTCATAGTCTCCAAATTTGGGGGACAATCTTAAACTGGAAAATACCATCTTAGGTGTAGGAGGCCAAAGTATACTCAGAAAGTACAGTTTAGAGCCAGAGACAGTTTCCTGATGTGCCTTTCATATTTTATCTCATAGTAACATCCCTGATGAAGACCAAGTGGAGAAACTAAATGTGTTCCTTTCTCCTTCTGACATCATCAATTATCTCACTCTCACAGAAGCTGCAGGACGGATATGGTAGGTTGGAGATCTGAGGATTCTTGATTATAAGTGGGGTTGGAAGATAGGGAGATGGCAATTATATCTTGAAACTCTGTATGTGGCAAAACAGAGAGCTTGGACTGTGGTGTTGCTGTGATCACCAGAGGTCTTTGGTTGAGGAAGAAATAAGGGTGTTGCTGTTGGAGCTGGGAAGTGGGTTGCAGATAGGAGGACCCACAAGTACAGTCAGCAGCAAGTGTCTGATTCTTTGAAGGTAAGGAAAAGCAGGAAGGAATAGGTATGGCCCAAGGAAATCATTCCCAATCAATGAGCAGTGATTATCTAGTAAATGAATGACGTTAATGAAGTCAACAAGGATATAAGATCTAAAAGAAGAGGATGGACCAAGGTCAAAGACTTCCAGATACCAGTTGGTCAAGGACAGATACAAAAGAGAGAATTTTCTTAAAATCAGCACTGTTTACGTAATTGTACATCATTTTTAAAACTTTGCAATTTATTTTGGTGGAAGATTGCATTTTTACAAGGCAAGAAAGCCCTTTAATGTAAAGGGATGACAAGTTATATATATAAGAGGGCAGGAAACACCGTCTTCCACTTTGCCAAATTCCCTATTCTCTCAGAGGCTCAATTAATACTTGACTGAGACTGTAGACTTCTCTGTACCTGAGCTTGCCCATTCATGAGTTCATTTATTTTTCATTAGATAGTCATTGTATAATCATCATGTGCTCACTCTCAATAAATACTTATTAAACACCTTCTGTTTACTTGGAATTATATAGCTGTAAAAATTTTTTTTGAAGGTAGCACTAGATTTCTGGGGTCTCATAGCCTGGCAAAAAAGACAGTCACATAAACAAGCAAATATAAAACGCATGTTATTGAAATATACAATAAGTGGATGTTCCCACCATGCAATAGAAGTCCAGGGGAAGGGGAGAGTAATGAGAGAAAGTGGAGGTGGGAGTTTGTCGGCCTCAGATAGGGTGCAACATGGCTGAAGACGCTGATGATGATAATGAGGGAACCCCAATCTGTGTCCTGTGAGCAGTCTCACACTTGCATTGAATGCTGTGTCCCATTGCAGTGTGGCTCAGTGGCAAGGTCCCCCGCGCCTGGGATGTATATTTTCTCATGGCGATCACCTCTTGGCCGTGAATGACCTGAAACCCCAGGGCCTGGACGAGGCCTCCTTATTTCTCAGCCGGTCTGTCAAGAAGGAGGTGAGTCTTGCTGACCAGCCCCGGCTGGGAATAAGATCAAAGTCTTGGGTGGGATCTGAACCGTATACATAAATACATGTAAGTCACACAATGTTATTTTAGAGACTTTTCAAAATTCTTTCACATATAGCAGTATCTGGAGAGGGCCCCCAGGTAGGAGACTAACCATCAGGATCCAAGACCTCAGACACAGCATGAAGATGGCAGAAGGAACTTGCAAGGGAATCGCATTGGCTCAGGGTTTGTGTTTCCTCTCCTCTAGCCAATTTGTGCCTTGGCTTTCTCTTCTGCAAAATTGGGAGTAAGGATAATACTCTTTGGAGAATTAAGTGTGATAATATCTGTCACATGCTTACAAATGGGACTGGCACCCACTAGGTGCTCCATAGCATTACTGCTTTTACTTCTCCAACTATTGGCTGGGGAATGTTGGCCAGGGTCACCTTTTTTACTCTTTAGACACCTCATCTGAGAAATGGGCCTCACTGTACCTCCCTCACAGTTATTGTAAGAATTAAACAAAATGTGTGAGTACGTATTAACGATGTATGTTTTCAAAGGCCTAGCCATGGCTCTGCCTATGAGTAGGGTCTCTGTGGGGCAGATTCCTTCCCTGGCCTATGTTTATTTCTAACATGCCACATGACCTTAGGAAAATCACTTTATCCTTTGGGCTTTGGCTTTTTTTTTTTTCTACAGTAAGATGGTTTTCTTTTCTTTAATTTTTAAGATTTTATTTATTTATTTTACAGAGAGGGCATGCACACAAGCAGGGGGAGGGGCAAAGGAAAAGGCACAGTTAGACTCCCTGCTGAGCTGGGAGCACAATGTGGGGCTGGATCCCAGGACCATGGGCTCAGGACCTAAACTGAAGGCAGATGCTTAACCAACTGAGCCACCTGGGCACCTGGTAGTTGGTTTTCAAACCGTGTTTCCCGGGCTTGTAAGAGAACAAGGAGTTGAGGAAGAGATGAGGAAGGGGAAAACATGAAAGACTTCAATGAAAAAAATCTATATGGGGATCCCTGGGTGGCTCAGCGGTTTGGCGCCTGCCTTTGGCCCAGGGCGCAATCCTGGAGTCCCAGGATCGAGTCCCGCGTCGGGCTCCCGGCATGGAGCCTGCTTCTCCCTCCTCCTCTGCCTCTCTCTCTCTCTCTCATAAATAAATAAATAAATATTTAAAGAAAAAGAAAACAATCTATATTTATCATGTATCTGTTTTCTATGTTGGCTCTGTTAGCTCTCCTTGAAGAAATGTTTCCTTTGCTTAAAATTCCTAAAAACCACTCTGTTAGGTCTCTCAAATTTCTTCCAGCTCTGAGAGTTTATGAATCTATAGGTGTTATCTCTTCTGCATTACACAATAATCTCATTGGTTAAACAAATGGTGTTATCCATATTACTAAGTGGGAAAAGCCAGCAAGGATGAATGAATTTCTAAGGAATATAACTAGTTAGTGGCAAAGCAAGGACTCACTCCTTCATCCAGTCACTTATTCACCATTTATTGAATATCTCGTGTATGCTGGATCCTGGGCTAAGTCCTAGAGCAAAATAAATGGCTTCAGCTGAAGTTTGAGGAGCTCACACCTTATGAATCAAACAGGCATGTCATGTGCTAGTTACTATACAGTGTGTGCCCTAAGATGTGAACAGAGGGCCACAGCACCAGAAAGAAAAAAAGGAGTGAATCTATTTGAGGAAGGCCAGAAAAGTGTCTTGGAGAAGGGTAGTGTCTGTCTTGGGTTTTGAAGACCGAGTAGGAGTTTGGAAAAGAACTAGGTTTCATGGGCTCAGTCCAACAATCAGGTGACTATAAAAACTTTCCTCTGCCAGAAACTCACACTGGGGCCAAGGGTTCAATAGAATCTTCTGAAAGTTACCAAACTACTCCCACCCAAAGATCCAACCATCAGCTCTGAAGTCAAAACATGGATTTTTGCCCGGGAGCAAATCCAGGAACTCCGCCTGGGCATCACTGACTGCTGTTTATCAAGACTGCCTTTCTAGACTGCGGAGTCACTTGCATGGGAGGGAATGACAGTCTTTCTCCTGTGCTGATTCCACCTACCCCTTTCTACTGGATCACAATCAGATGCTATGGAGAAAGATGGGGTGTTTGCCAACATGGTTATCTGGCAGGTCAAAAACTTCTACTTTCCCACTCTACCATTACTGACTATTGTTTATGTTAAAATGGATATCCAGTTCTTTTTAAAAATCCAAATAGCTGATTTAAAAGAAAGTTGGAAGAAGGGAATTGTGGAACCAAAGGAGGGGCAGCCAAGGGCCCCTGTTGTTTTAGAGCATTTGGAGCAATCAGATCTACCTTCCCTCCTGTTGGGCTACAGTTGAGAGGCAAGGAGTTTGGCTTGGGGATGGAATAGGGACACCGAGAGGAGGCCATGTGAGGTTTTAAAAGGAGGAGGAGAAGGGGTTTGTATTTAAAAAAAAAAAAAGGTGGAGGGGCATCTGGGTGGCTCAGTGGTTGAACATCTCCCTTTGGCTCAGGGTGTGATCCTGGGGTCCTGGGATTGAGTCCCACATCAAGCTCCCCTCAGGGGGCCAGCTTCTCCCTCTGCCTATGTCTCTGCCTTTCTCTGTCTCTCGTGAATAAATAAATAAAATCTCAAAAAAAAAAAAAAAAAAGGAGGAAATGCTAGATTACAAGAGACACATCAAACCTCAGTTTTCCCCCAATCTTTTCAGGGGCTGGTTTTGTATGGTTTCATCTGTATTTTCTATTTCAAGAGGCTTTTGTTTCCTGGTGCAACTGGGCCCATCAGGCATCATCGGTGCTTTCTGGAATCTACCAAAAAGACTCAGGCCAGTGACCACCCAGGGAATAAAAATCTTTCACCTGAATATACAGCTCATCCTGGCTTCCTCTGACCTAGATATTGTGGTTCATCATAGGATTTTTCTTCAAAGCCAGCTTCAAAGGGTGTTAATGAGGACAGCCTAAGAACAAACAATCCTATGGATAATCTTTAGTCATTTGATTTCCTTCTTATTTGTATTTTAGAAAATAAAACTCACCATTGGCCGGATCCCAAATTCAGAGAAATTCCATGCTGTGGCCTGCATGTGTCCCTTAAAATACGAACCCTTAAAACCGGTTAAGTCTGGACCAGAGAGGACACTGAAGAGGACTCCAGCCATTAAAAAGAATCAGCATAAAGGAACTGGAGAGTAGCATGCTAGGACCCACCACAGAGGAGCAAGGATGGGCCCTGGACTCTGCAGAGGCTCCACCTCACACCTCTGTGTGAGATGAGGCGAGTCAGCACACCTCTCTGATTTTCTGCATCCGTATCTAATAGTGGGAATAACTCACCTCTCTGGCTGTTGCATCAGGGATGTTGAGAGAGCCAAGGGGGAGAATGACTATGGAACACAGAGGAAATGTAAGGCCTTTTTATCTCAGACTTTGTCCCACACACCACAGACATTGGGTAAGTCCCTCATCTAAAATGCATTGTGTGTTCTATGAAGTTGTGGTCCACACAATCCCTTCTTTGTTAGGGAACATAGAGTTGGAAGTGCTCATTCCAGGAAGACAAGATTCCCAAGAGAAGTGATACCGTATCAGCCCTCCCAAACACTTCCCACTACTTGTCATGCCCATGGAGCAAAATGCTGAGTGGCCTCTTGGACTCAGTAATTATCTTGTTTTCTTAAAGGCCCAGTAACTATTCTAGAAGTCAAGGCAGTAGGTCATCTGCAGCAAAGATCTGTTTTCTCTATGAGTAATTAAGGCAACGACTTAGCGCTTCTACGTTTGAAAGGTCTTAACCTATTGATTCATTAATTAATTGATCCTACGAGGCCAAAAACATCAAATCTTTTCTCATATGCAGAAAAACAAAGGTAGAGAGTGAAAGGACTAATCAAATATGGGAAAGCTGGAGCATAAGGAAGCTTCAGAAAATATATCTTACCATGTTGTCATTTTGTGCAGGAAGACGTCAAGGCTCCAAATGTTTAATAAAACAAGCAAAACAGAAACAGATTCATTAATACAGAGAACAAAGTGGTGGTTGCCAGAGAGGAGGGGATGGGGGCACAAGCAAAGAAAGAGAAGGAGATTAAATGGTACAAACTTCCAGTTATAAAATAAGTACATCTCAGGGATGAAAAATACAGTTTGGGGAATAAAGTCAATAATACTTTAGTGACATTGTATGGTGACTGCACTTACCGTGTTGAGCAGAGCATGACGTATGGAATTGCTGGATCACTCTGTTGTGCCATAGTATGTCAAAAAATAACAGTAATAATAATAAGATATTTCTTCTGTGGTTCCCAGTTTCGTAGCTGTTTAGTGGCAGAACCAAGAATTTAAAACCAGCTCTGAGAAACAGATATCTTGATCCTCACTTTGTATTTGGACTTAGGTTTGAAAAGACCTTCAGCAGATAGAAGCCACATTCAAATAAAGATCTGTTATCCAGATTGTCTAAAGATTCTTACCTACTGTTTCTTTTTTTAAGCTAGACTGAAGAATCTGGTTTTTCCTTTGTTTTATTAAAATGTAATTGACATATAGCATTGTATCAGGTCAAGATGCACAACCATAATGATCTGATGTGGGCATATTCATCTACTGTTTCTGCTTCCAGAAATTTGTCCTACTGTGTGAGTAATGTGTACTCACACAACACATCGTTTTTTTTCGTATTTTCACGTTCTCTGGAGCATTGTTTGTAATAAAAAAAATTATTCGGGGATTGCTGAATTATGAGGATTTCGTGTAATTGGATGGATCCTCTGCAGATGTTAGATGTTCTACATGTGCGGACATGGAAAAAAATGTTCACAATATAGTAAGAATGAAAAAAGCAAGTTGCAGAATCGTAGGTGTGACATTGCCCTTTTTTGCAAAAATAAATTACCGGTGTGTACATATACATATGCATGTATACAAAATTTCCACAACCCTAATAAGACAGCAATGCCTACCCCATCAGGTTGTCTTGAGGTTTAAATGGGTGATGTATGTACAGCACCTGGTCCACTGCCTGATATGCAGTGAGTACTCAAGTTTGGTTATGCAGCTCCTGCTTTGATAATGCTATTTTTTCAGTAAGAATCATCTCTGAGAAGTAGGACCAAGGTTGGCCATGTGGGGGAGGCATTTCTGTTATGTTCGAATTTTTCTTTCTTTCTTTCTTTCTTTCTTTCTTTCTTTCTTTCTTTCTTTTTTTTTTTTTTTTTGCAAAGAGACTGTCACTTTTATTTAAGAAAAAAATACAAGTGTGGAAAATAAATAAATTTTATATATTTATATAAATATAGACTTCTATAAATGTATATTTGTTATATAAATATATATCTTATATATTTATATTTGTTTATATTTATATATTATTTATATTTATTACATAAATGTAAATATAAGCAAATATATTTTAAATAAATGTGTACATGAATATATAAAATTTATATAAATATATACATATATATATTTAATTTTTGTAAGTAAGAAACCAAGCCACCTCAGTAAAGGAAATGCAAAACCATCAATATAAAACTGTTCAGCACCAACAATGTGGGTGGATACACTGCTTTGAAGCCCGAAGGTCTTTCCCTTGTTTGGCTCAGAAGTCTACACTGTAATGCTAATAAAAGCTAAAATTAGGTAGATGGACAGACCTTAGCCACCAGGCCTTAAGCCCCTCATGGGATGAGCTAAAGCCTCACCCAGCTCATAGAATTCCTGGCGCCCAGCCTCTTCTCAGTACTCCAGAGTGAGGCGGTGAGCCAGCTTCCAGCCCTCTCTCCCTCCCTAATCATCTGCTGCAGCTGAATCAGCCAGGGGGCTTGTTAAGGGGATCCTACTCTAGGGGCTCCTTTCACTCGAGGGCTTTGCTCCCCAAAGGAATCCCAAGGGTACATTCCAGGATTCCCCCACCCACAACCCAAGGATTCTGATTCCATAGGTCGAGGGTGGGCCCCTGGAATCTGCATTCTTTTTGAAAAATATTTTATTTAAATTCAACTTGCCAACATATAGTGTAACACCCAGTGCTCATCCCATCGAGTGCCCTCCTTAATGCCCATCACCCAGTTACCCTATCCCCCTGCCTGCCTCCCCTTCTGCAACCCTTTGTTTCCCAGAGTCAGGAGTCTCTCATGGTTTGTCTAGTCTAATGGCCACTCCCAGATGGAGTGGACAAGGGGCAATCGAGCAGCATCATCCCCAGGGGGCATGGGGGAGAGGCAGGTGTGTCTCCTGAGAGGCTGCAGAATGTGGAATGTGCATGTGGGAGTTTTTGAGGGGCGAGGGCCCACAGTTTTAAATGATTCTGGAAGAGGCTAATGGCGACCATCCCCTGCCTCCTTCTCCAGAAAGAACCCTATTCCGGAGGTGAGAAACCCAGTGTTCGCTCCTTGCTCTTGGCCCCTGGGGAGTGTCCTAAAGGGCCTGCCAGAAGCAATGTTGTCTGGACTCTGTGCTGCCGCACGCCATTAGATGCCCAGGGCATTGGGTGGACATAGGGAACTTGGCGCTCAGCTTCAGGTGAAGCCAGTCCTGCAGGCCAGGCCGTTCCTCAGCGTCCCACTTCATTCTCTGTGCCTTCCCTTCCCAGAGCCGGGGCCAGCCACTCTCCCCCAGGATTCAACCTGGGTCCCTGCCCCATGAGGGGCCTTTCTTCCTCCTAACAAAGGTGGTGACCCCAAGGAAAGCTGCTGACTGAACCGGCCCGGAAGTCTGGTGATCAAGGCTTGTGCCCCAGAGCCCTGCGTTCGGAGTCCTTCTCTGCCGCCGGGCGGAGAGCTGAGGACAGGCTGCTGAGGGGTGGGGGCAGGTCTCCAGGCCAGGCCAGAAAGACTTGTGCCTCATATTAATATAATCTCCCCAGAGCTGAGAGAATGGGACAGGCCTCCTCACGCCGCCCACCCCCAGCCACATCCACACCCGTCCTCAGTGCAGTGATCCCTTTCCTTCCAGAGATACCCTTGATGTTCATTCCAACTCGATTCCAGTGGATAAATATGGGCAAAGGTGGGGCCTGGGGACCGCCGAGTGATTGAGCCTGCTGTCCTTTGGGGGGGAGGGCTGTTCTAGGCATATTTCTGGAGGAAAGGCAGTAACAAGCATGGATTATAAACTATTCTTGGTCATCGTATCCCAGGCCTGGTGCAGCTCTTCAGTCTTGCTGGGGAAGAAAGCAGAGCCCAGAAATGGGAAGAGGCTGACCTGGGCTCTCCAAGGCCCAGGACACACCTCCAGCTCCCAGACCAATACCTTTACTTCAGGGCTTTGGGAGGTGCCACCTCTCTGGGCACTCCTTCTTGATATGGCCTCGTGCCCCTAAAAACCCGCTCCAGAGGGAGTCCATATCTTTCTACTTTGTCTCTCTGCTGAGAATGCAAACTATCCAGAGTCGATTCTAAATAGCAGCTGGTGAGATATGCAATGAATGCGCAAGGCCAAACACATCCACTCTTACGTGAAGTTGCTGACATCTTTGCATAGGTTCCAGAAAGGCATTTGTGGTTATGTTGAGTGAACCACTGTACACGTACATATATGTACGTATGTGTGTATGTGTATGGAGAGAGAGAGAAGACAGGTGTTATTAAATAACAATAATACTTTAATAAGCTGAGAAGCCCAAGCACCACAACACCCCCCACCCCGGCCGCCCCCACCTTTCTCTTTAGGACTTTTGCCAAATGACCTTCCCTTAGGATGATAAGGAGAATTTAAAGTATCATAAACAGGCCCAAAGGGAGAGGCCTTTCAGATTCAGAATGTGGATTAACTCAGAGTTCTTTAGTGAAGTTGAATTTCCAGATATGCAAGAAATGTGTTTTATTGGAAAAAGTCTTTAAAACATCTGAGTTGATGAAATCTTTGTCTAATCGTCAAGGATCTGGAAGGATTTCAGAAGCCATTCTCAATACCAACTCTGGCTAGATGGTTCTGGAAAACCAAGCGTTTAAATGAATCTTGCACTCACAGTACTGGGCTCTGAAGCTGCCCAGTTCAGTAGCCACTAGCCACGTGTGACTTTTAAAATTTAAACTAATGAAAACTAAATAAAATTTCAGTGGAGTTTTCCAGTCACATTAGCCGCATTTGAAGTGGTCAGCAGTCCTATGTGGCAAGTGACTTCAGTACTGGACAGCACGGATATAGACTATCATCACAGGACATTCTGGTGGGCGGTGATGCTCTAGAATGGACTGCTCTTGTTTAAAGCTGGGGCTGGGAAAGCAGTTGATGTTCTAAACATACATAAACTAAGAGTTAATAGGCCAAGAGTGTGAGAGGTTTTGTTATTAAAGCCCATTCATCTCTAATTCGGGGTTCTGTGACATTTCTGTGAGGGGTGCTTGGTTATCTTGATGGTGATGACTGTGGTGCTGTCATTTGCTTACCTCTTGGTTCCCAAGTATGTTCTGGAGAAGTGAGACCACCAGGAAAATTATTGGAAGCCAAGTACAATCACCCTATCAGAAAAAGTAGAGAACAATTAATTACCAAACTGCACAGCAATGGAGGAGTTCAGAGAGGAAAGAGATGAGGGTGGAACAGAGTGCTAATCATGCCTTACATCCAGGGTGGCCATGCTACCCAGCCTTACCACAGCTTTGTAAAACCATGTTTTGGCTGGGGCAACTAAAACACAGAGAAGTTAAATAACTTGTTCGTGGCTAGAACATGACAGAACTAGAATTTAAACCGGGCAGATCGGCTCTGGAGGCCACAAGCTGAACTCTACACCATGATGAAAGCCTCCTGGAGAGGAGTGGCTTGATGTCCCAGAAGAAGATAATCCCCAAGGCTCAGTGATGTAGACGCCGAGCCTAGAGCACACTTTCCCAGTGAAAACAGGGAATGTGTGGAATGACTCAGTTTTCTCATCCAGCACTGATTTCAATAATATCCATTCATCTTCTGGGCCTCTTGCCCAAAAGAACCTTAAAAGTCCACACCGTATGTTCCGGGAACCAGGAGAATTCTCTGGAGGCTCCTGTCATGACTAGTTAGCATTTTTTACACCTCTCCTTTTAGATGGCCATCTGGCTCCATATAACGTTCAAGTTAACAAGCAATTAATGCACAGCTCTGATGACAGAGGCTGCTAGGCTGGTTCTCTGGACAGAAGATGAGTAATAAGGAATCCTTGACTTTGCAAAGCTCATCATCGAATGAGGGTAATACAAACATACACATAGAGAGCTACCAGGCAGGTCCATGATCCTAAATCCTTTGTTCAAAGAACCAATTCAGCGTTAAATGAATAAATAATTTACAGACTAATCCTATGTAATAGGTTTGGGAAAAACTTCACAGGAAGGGTAACTTTTCTTTTTTTTTTTTTTTTTGCAGGTGTGGGGGATGGAATTGTACATCTGGCCAAACCCCCAGTGTACAGCCATCACAATAGAATTAGCAGAGCCAGAGGTTCTCCAAGTCCTGTAGTACAGAACTCCTCCATCCTTACACAATCCGAGCCCTTTGAATTGTCACCATCAGTGACAATTTTGAGCACCTCTTGGGTTCAGGGTGCAGTGCCAAGCACCAGTGATATTAACAGGAATGAAATATGTTACCTCAGAGAGGTGATAACCTAATTAAGGATATGGGTGTAAAAATTGCTTAGAGC